TATGTGTTGTAAATATCTTGTACTACCCTCAGGTTTCCTTTCTGGCCTCCAAATGGTTTCAGTAATTTAAAGTTCTTAATTTTCAATATTTGCAATATCCTGTTTAAGAAATCTTTCCTTATTCAAAAGTCTGGAAGATATTGTCCTGTGTTATTGCCTCAAAGTTTTTTTTTTAAACCTGTCATATTGGAATTGATTTCAGATTATTGTAAAAGACAAGGACAATATGTTTATTTTTTCATATTGTTAGAGACTTGATCAAGAAAATAATAATCCCGAAGCCTGTGGAAGGAATCCACAAATACATAGAAAGATAGACAGTATGAGGCAGCAAAGGAATATCTCCCAGGCCAAGGCACACAATAAAATCCCAGAAGAAGAAATAAGTGATGAGGAGACAGGCAATCTATCTGAGAAAGAGTTTAAAGTAATGATGGCCAAGATGTTCAGAGAACTCAAGAGGAGTATAGAAGCACAGAGTGAAGTTTTTAGCAAAGAGTTGGAAAATATAAAGAATACCCAAACAGAGTTGAAGAATAAAATCACTGAAATGAACAATACACTCTAAGGAACCAACAATAGACTGAATAAGGCAGAAGAACCGACCAGTGGGCTAGAAGACACATTAGTGGAAATCACTACTTCAAAACATAAAAAAGAAAAAAAGGAATAAAAAGGAAAGAGGATTGTTTAAGAGAACTCTGGGACAACATGAAGTGCTCTAATATTCCCATTATAGGGGTCGCAGAAAGCAAAGAGAGTGAGAAAGGACCTGAGAAAAATTTTGAAGAGATAATAACAGAAAATTCCCCAGCTTGGGAAAGGAAATAGTCACCCAAGTCCTGGAAGGAAGTGCAGAGAGTAACATACAGAATCAACCCAAAGAGGAACCACACCCAAAGAGGCATATAGTCATCAAATTGACAACCATTAAGGATAAGGAGAAATATTAAAATTAGCAAGAGAAAAGCAACAAATAACATATAAGGGAACTCCCATAAGGTTATCAGCTGATTTTTCAGCAGAAAATCTACAGGCCAGAAGGGAGTGGCATGATATATTTAAAGTGATGCAAAGTGGAAACTTACAACCAAGAATTTTATCCAGCAAAGCTCTTGGTCACACTTGATGGAGAAATCAAAAGCTTCACAGATAAACAAAAGCTAAAAGACTTCAGCACCACCAAACCAGCTTTAAAACAAATATTAAAGGATCTTCTAGAGTCATCAAACCATAAGAAAAGAGAACAAAAAGAAGAAAGAGGGAAAAAAAGAGACCTACAAAAGATTGCTTTGGTTGTTCGGAGTCTTTCATGGGTCCTTATAAACTTTGAAATTGTTCTAGTTCTGTGAGAATGTTGCAAGTATTTTGATGGGGGTTGGGTTGGATCTGTGGA